TTCTTCTGACAAGGAGTATTTCCCATTGGAATCTATGAATCAAACAGTTTGCCTGGTTAGAGAGAAACTTAATGAGATACAATCAAGCACTGACAATTCAGAGGTTCAGTCGTCTAAAAGACCACGTGTTGACAATAGGAGGAGAATCTAATATTCTTGAAAGAGTTCTGTCCTTTGTCCAAGCTCAGGTGATATCATGATGTGGGACAAATTTGTTTAATATTTACTTCTTTGGTAGGATCCTCGTGACTGCAGTAGAGATGTGAAATTGCATTTGGAGGTCAACATATGTAAATCTGCTGGCCCTCTTTAGGAAAAGGACAAAGGGCTGCAACAATTCTAAGTTGCTAAGGGCTTCAACCTTTTTCTCCTGTTTAAGTTGAAATCTTTTAAATCATTGGAAATCTCTCCATTACCATTGATGTTTTGTTATGTTGGTGGACATGGATGAGGATGGGGGAAGGGGTCACTCATATATGTTCAAAGTTCTTTATAATCATAAGAAGTCTCTCGACTGGGAGTGCGGGCGAACTTCTTTGCTGCATACTTCTTTTTGTACTTTGTAAAATATATAGAGAGGTAAGGATAAGAGATCTCCGAAAGTCTGGTAAAACAAACTTTCTGAGTTGCAAAACAAATTTGTTAACTGTGGATGGTATGGAGGAAAAAGTAATAGTACATGCGTAGAATGGGACTTCACAAGCAGGAGAAAGGTGATATAGCGCTTCAACAGGAAGCTCTGCATATGTTTCGAAGAAAGAGAAGCCAAAAAACCTTAAGGTCTGTTAATAATGATTGTTCCCTTGTTTTCTGATTAATTTTAAGCTTCTGAAATTAGCTGACTGAGGTGCATTGGCATGCTTTACTACAATGCAGGAGAAGTGCACAAGGAAGAATGCATAGAAGGTCCTAACAGCCAGGACAGAAACCAAGAAGCCAACATGTTCCTTCCTTTTCTGGCGGTCAACCAAAATGAACTGGAATTCGGCATTACATGCTGCAAATAGGCCAGTAAGAAGATATTGTTGGAAGAATTGCCTGAAATCAACAACTGAACTCTTGATGTGCTCATCCCGGTTACATGGAAGGTTATGCTTAGCAGAAGGAAAAGTTGGAATGATTAAAGCTGCAAAAGCAATTAGGCATGTGACAAGGAATCGATGGAACACAAGAGCTCTGGTGGTAGACAATCCAATGAATTACAGTCCAAGGGGATTTTGCCGTTTGTCTGCAATTTGTTCTGTTGGCCATGTGGGCTGGCTAACGAACCAAAAGTTCCGCTAGTCTTAATTGCTACCAACCAAAGCTCGATATCAATACAGTTTACTTTTGCGTTCGAACACATAAATTTGGCATTGCTCGTAATCGAGCTTAATGCTTATGTTACATTTCTGTACACAATCATTTGGTTAGACAGTTTTGAGCACAACTCCAAGGAGTCCTTAAAGTTCTACAGTGGCTTTTTCTTCATAAAATTTTTTTGCCAGTTATTAAGAATATCAGAAACAAAAAATGAAAGAAGTTGAATTGTGAGCTTTGCAGTCTGATTCCGCGAATTGCCAGCCCTTTTTTTTTTTTTTTTTAATTATTATAAATTAAAGCATAGAAGCGTTAAAATTGGAACTAGAGAATCAGCAGCAGGCCCAGGATACTTCACTAGCTATATACAATGCAAATTCCTATAGGGCTACCCATGGCCCACAAAACCAGGTTAATGAAAAAGGTAGAGGTTGGTGTTCTGTGACTTTGCCGTCCGCGATTCCAAAAGACGAGAGGTACGTTTCCGCAGTTACTAATAGTCGCGCGACATGCGCCGTCAATGTCAACGCCTCCCCTCCTAAAATGTGCCGCCAATGGTAACGCCTTCTACAATCTTCTTGTAACAGATGGATGACAACTCCCAACTGCATATACCAAATTAGGACTACTAAACTTCAATCGTTCGTTCATGCTCTACTTGTAACGATTCACCAAGCAGATATAAAAAGAGATCGAAATAAGGAAGCCAGGTAGGCTATTAGTTATTCTACTTCTAGCCGAGGGCAACAAATCCAAGCCTTTCTAAAATCGCCGGCCACTCAGAGCTTGAACCGGAAAGATGGGCCGACTGTCCTCCGACGGAGCGCCAGAAGAAGGGAGTATTCCTTTGCTCGTATCAGGTAAAACTGCTTGCTGACTTTCGATTCTTATTTATTTATTTATTATATAGCTGTCAATTCCTCTCTTTTTCATACATCATGAAACAAAAAAAAAAAAAGGTTCTAAGCAGCTAGGAATCTTACTTACGGTTGTCGTGAAGGAGGTTAGGACGGGCAAGAAATGATGCTAAGAAATAAGATGCACCCACCACCTAGAAGCCTAAAAGCCTAAAACCGTAAAGCCCCAATCCATTCATCTTAGTGGGAACAAACCATGCGTTGGGGCCTGCGGTTCTGCCTCTTGTCTTCACTCTTTCACCTCGTCATCATGTTTGGATTGTATTTTTTTGAATTTTTTTTTATAAAAAAATTACTGTAATAATTTGACATATATATATATATATATGAAATAAAAAAATAATTAAAAATATATTTATATAGTAATTTTTTTTTTGAAAAATTACTTTTCAAACAAGATTAGGCTTTTCATTTTACTTTTATAAGTTTCTTGGCTACCAAATTGTTTCAATAACAAAATCCTTTTTGCTTGCGCCAATTAAAGAGAGCGCCCCCGCCCTTCAAAAAAAAAAAAAAAGGAATAAGTGTTTTTGGACGTCACTTGAAATTTGTTTGTTACTTTTTTTTGTTTTTTTTTTTCCTGAAACGATAGAAGTTGAAATTTGTTTGTTACTTGCTTGTGGGAAATCGACAATAAGAGGTGCCGTGGCCGCAATGATCGTCTCCGTCTCATGGAGGTTGAGTTTGTGTTTGCCGGGTTGCCATCATGAATTTGGACAAAAAGCCAAGAACGCAAGGCTTTGCTTCTCCACTTCCCCCTTTGCCTTTTCCGCGTATTATTCCTTGTCATTCGAGGTGGCAAAATGGGCGGGATGGGCGGGATTTGATTGGGTTTCAGATGGAACCGAGTCATATGGGTTTGGGTCCAACCTTATCCATATGTGTTTTGGGACTAACTTGGGCGGGATCACTTTGGAATGGGTTTAGATTGATCCCGCCCAATACCCAAATCTATTTTCTACATTTTTTTTAATTCATTTTTTATTTTTTATATAACTTTAATATTTTTGTTTTATTAAATTTCTTTTAGTTTTATTAAATAAACATGCAAGTGTTTTATACTCAGGATTCCCACAAAAAATTGGATTAACAAATAAAGGAAAAGATAGATATACAGCCATATTCTAACATATATCAAGATGACCAAGGCACTTAAGGTGTTGAATATTTATCCTCATCATTGTCCAAGGATGATAGGTCTAAACTAACTGAAATGTTGGAAATTCTTGTGGATAATGACTAGGAAGACTGATAGATTATATTTGCTCGTATGACTATAAAAATTGTTAAAGATAATTTTTTAATCTAAGACTCCGTTTGGATTGGCTATTTTTTCAAAAAACAAGTTTTTCAAATATAATGTTACAGTAATATACAATAACTCAAAAAACATCTCATCCATATTAGTATATCAAATATTTCAAAAAAATTTTATAGTAAAAATTTTTCATATACACTGATACAATAAAATTTTTCAAAAACACTCCAAAAAATAACTAATCCAAACGGAGCCAAGCTTGTTATTTGAGCCCAATGGGTACCCAAGTATTTCTCAAAATTTCTCATCAATTAATGGGTACAATTGGGATTTGTCCCATTTTAAACCCAATACCAAATTCCAATACCCATCCCGCCCAAAGTCCCCATGGGCATGGATAACCCATTGGGACTTGGGACAAATTGCCACCTCTACTTGTCATCATCACAGTACTAATATAGTACACCACTTATTATTATTATTATTATTTTTGGTTGGATTAGGCAGAAACTGTAGAATATACTATAATCCAGGAAAAAGATGCTAATCACAGCTTCACTCTTTATTAATTTGGCATGGGAAGAGCCCTTGGGGGGAGTGAGGAGTACTGCATGGGGGATTATTTACTTTAATTACTAGTATTTGCTTGCTCAGCCATAAAACAACTCTCTCCAGTTCCTACAAGCTACAAATACCCCCCCCCCTCCCCCGAAAAACTGGACGAGGGGCCTGGACGGTTGTCTCTGACAACCGTCCCAGGCAGTTTACGGCTTGGATGAGCCCTCAAAAATTTGTGCGGCTCAGATCACGTCTTGTAACTCGATTTTCACGCCGTATGGGACTCACAAAAATGTTGTTCTAGTGTTACTTGCTGTTGTTCTATTGTTACACCTTGTACAGATAATGTTACACCATGTACAAATGGTGTTACACCTTCCGGAGCGGTTGTTCTGACAACCGCTCCAGCCCCGCGTCCCGAAAACTGTGAGATTCTCTTATCATTTTCAGCAACTCAACCATTCTAAATTAGGGCATAAATTGAGTTAAACCATACAAGCCTTAATAATTGAAAGTCTTCCATTTTGTCTCTTCTCTCACAAAATTAGAATAACGTTAGCATATTGATAATTGAAGACTATCCCCCTACCTAAAAACAAGATGATAATAATATTCCTAATAATAGCAGCGCAATACTGCATAATCTGTCTGTCATTATTCTATCTATTTATTCCTAATATTTCCAGTGTTGTAGTTTCAATAGATATATGTAACTTTCAATTTTCAAATATTGTCGTGCTCCTAGAATTAAAAGAAAAAAAGGATACCGATTGCTTGTGCGCGACAACTAAGATGGCTTGGTTTCCTTTCCCACCCATTGGCTTGCGGCTTCGTCAGGCTTCTCACTTCCCAGTCCATCATATGAATATAATAGAGGTCAACCATTTCATTTTATAGTCATCGTTCTCATTGATAACAACAGTGAAAATTTCCCGTTCGGCAATTCCGTCGTCCCAGCTGCCTCATTCTAATCTCATCCCCTCCTATATTGCTATACTCTGATTAAAAAAATAAAAAGGACATGTTCTATATATAAACTACTAGTAATTAAAGCAGGATGTAGATGCATATATTCGTATTCCCATTCCCCCTGGTGCTTCTTTTCTATTTTGTTTTTTCCTGAGACTAAGACAGCGACGAGCCACCCCATATCCTTCCTGCCTTTCTTCCTTCGACCACGATCAATCAACCCCATATCCTTCTTCTTATATATTCTTCTTCTCTGACGACCCAATTACATGCACGATCAACTGATATAAATTTAAAACCAGCATACATATATTTGCATGTACTGATACGTTCTGTAATACATGGCGCCAGAAAATCCACGGGATGATCAATCTGTACCGGAGATAAATCGGGAGCACGACGCCGGCGCAGTTTTTGTTTTGGAGTCCAAAGGTAAGAAGGATTTTGTGTGAAGATCAAATGCAAGATTAGTCGGTACTAACTAGTTCTAGTATTCTTCTATTAATCAGAGGATTCTCCTTTTGTCCGGTCTGGCCAGGGGAGTGGTGGCATGCGGGATTTCATCTGACGACAGCGATAGTGGGGCCCACAATACTGACGTTGCCGTACGCATTCCGAGGTCTTGGATGGGGTCTGGGCTTTTTCTGCTTATCGGTGATGGGGGCGGTTACGTTCTATTCTTACTATCTTATGTCCTTGGTGCTTGATCACTGTGAGAAGTCTGGACGTCGCCACATCAGATTCCGCGAACTCGCTGCTGACGTCTTGGGTACCTCATCTTTTACGCATTAGCTCATCTCTCTCTCTCTCACACACACACGCGCACACACCAGTACTCTGTTTCTGATGTGAAGTTTTTAACTGCCTTGCCTCAGTTCTCGACCTGTGGAGTCCTTTTTGAGAAGAAATGTGCAGCTATACTGGGACCTGTTGATGGCCTTTTTCTGGGTGCAATTTGTTATTTAAGTGAATGAGCTTTCCTTTCTAGTTTTGGATTAGTAGGAAGGTTATGGAATTTACTTTTAACCTGACATATCTGGTGATAATCGTAGTGTTCATGGTTTGTTGAGATACCATGGAGTAGACTTTTGAAAGGATCTTATGGGGATAACAACTAATTACTCTGAGCAATAACGCCCTGTGCAGCGTCCTATGAATGCCTCTTGGAGAAACTTAGGCTGCACCATTATATTGTTGGAGCATCAATACATGTTATGTTTCAGTCGCTAATTGGAGCCGTGTCTTTTACATTTCAAACAATTTTGCTTTCACGTTCTGCATTTTTGGCATTCTGACATTGATCAGAGCATTTGGCTGTCAACAAATTAAAGTTTGCTAATTATTTTGCTGCTTGCTCCTGCTTATTGGGAAGAAGTGTATCGGTAATTCTTGACTAAAGGCCTTGCGTTTCACTCTGTAGGATCGGGATGGATGTTTTATTTTGTAATATTCATTCAGACAGCCATCAACACAGGCATTAGCATAGGAGCAATTCTGCTTGCTGGGGAATGCCTACAGGTATAGCAACATAGGTATCCACTTGCTTCTTGTAGCGTGCAGACAGATTAAACATATGGTATTGGAAGCTTTAGAGGACTTCTTAATGCGCTCTGGCTATCTTTATTATCATAATTGGCAGTTCAATTTGATCTATAATCTGTCATTGCTGCCTCTGTATTTGGGGGTTGTGCAAGTAAGCTTCATGTGCCGGACAAGGGGATCTGTTGATTTTGGTTTGAGACCTTTAATTGCAAAAACAGGGAATAGAAATCTGTTAACAGAACTCAGAATTAGTGATAATACGGAATGGCTGAAAAAAAAGGGCTTTTTGTGATCGATACCTTGCTGATGGCAACTTTAGGTGTTAACTTAGAAAAGCTTAAATTTATTAATGAACAGAAATTTGTTGATAAAACTTAAAGAAGGTTTCAATTAGTGAAAATTCAACTCATTAGTGTCTGCATGTCATGCATATCTCTTGTATTTCAAAACCATGTTGGAAATCAAAATTGAGTGATTATGCTCTTCCATGGCACAATGTGTCTTCTAGGCACAGACGTGAAAACATCATGAAGTTCATAACTGGGATAAAGACATGTTGGAACATAATTACTTTCTGGTATGAAGATTGCTCAATCTGTTCTGAGTTATGGTTTCTTTGCTCTGCATAAGTATCAATACCTATTTTATCACCATGCATAGATTTATTAACAAGCCAGTAATTCTTTTAAACTGTCTTCTCTTGAACTGACACCAGCTGTTGTTCTTGTTACAAGATCATGTACTCAAACCTTTCTCCAAATGGGTCACTGAAGTTGTATGACTTTATAGCAATGGTGACTGTAGTGATGATACTCCTATCCCAGTTTCCAACCTTCCACTCCCTCAGGCATGTTAATCTTGGTTCGCTGCTTCTGAGTCTGGGCTACACTTTGCTTGTAGTCGGTGCTTGTATACATGCAGGTAGATCCTTCTTTTAATCTCTACTTGTGCTGATTGATTATACATATATTTTGCAGCTGACACAACAAAGTAATTGACTAAATAGTGAAAGCAGTACTTGGTGTTTTGAGAAAGATGCCTGTGATATGAATGATTGTTGCACTTTGAAGAGTGTTGTAGCACACATAACATTCATCCTCTTTTTTCACCTAATCCTGAGTGAAGTAAAATTTCCGGAGCAGTAAAACATATGTGAAATCCGTTACCACAAACATATGTGAATCCATTACCACAATTGAAGCTATACTTTGGACCTTAATCTGGATTGAACCCTTGTTTTTGCAATGTACACCAAATGATTTGCAAAGAGGCTTATATTGGATTCCTGAAAATGATATACATGTTGCTGCCAGCTGCAAAATCAGAAAAATTAGAAGTTAAACAATACATATGATCCTGGTTGTGATCTAATTTGTTTCAGTATTATGCAGGAACATCCAAGAATGCACCTCCTAAGGACTATTCTTTAGAAGGCTCAACATTGTCTAGGAGTTTAAATGCTTTCGCTTCAATATCTATTATAGCTGCTATTTATGGAAATGGGATACTACCCGAAATTCAAGTAAGTTTTCCTGTTTAAGCCATGGTTCTAGGGTATCAATCCATTTGTGCTTTTGGGCCAACAAACTCATTTCTTTCACTATTAGTAAATGTCATGGGGAACTGTTAAATGAGGCATTTCATGTTGCAGTTGGATACAGTCATGGAGACCTCCTAAATGGGTATATAAGCTGTAGTCTGCATCCATTTACTTCAGTGAAACAGGCTTAAGAATTCTGATCCCATTAGTATCTAGCTGCAAAAAAATTACAATCAGTAGTCGGTCACATACGTGTTAAGATCCATTTAGTAGAAAGTAGTCGCCTGTTGAGATTCAGTTTTCTGAAACAATCAATGCAGGCTACTCTAGCTCCACCAGCCACTGGGAAGATGTTTAAAGGTCTTGCAATGTGCTATGCTGTAATCTTTGTGACTTTCTACTCTGCTGCTGTTTCGGGATACTGGGCATTTGGGAATAAATCGAACTCAAACATTCTCAAGAGCTTGCTGCCAGATGAGGGACCTTCCTTGGCTCCCACATGGGTATTAGGTCTTTCAGTTGTCTTCATTCTCCTTCAACTATTTGCCATTGGCCTGGTAAGCTCATCATGCATTTTTACAGCAAAATCCTGATTACTTCTTGTAATTCATTTAGAACTGCGCTAGGTGTTCCATTTGATTAAATGCTTGCATCTTTCCTAAGTATATCACCTTCTGCTTTAACTTCTCTGATATATATATATATGACAGGTCTATTCTCAAGTAGCTTACGAGATCATGGAGAAGAAATCAGCTGATGTAAACAAAGGAATTTTCTCCAAAAGAAATCTAATCCCAAGGATAGTTCTTCGGACACTCTACATGCTATTTTGTGGGTTCTTTGCAGCCATGTTACCATTCTTTGGGGACATCAATGGTGTTGTGGGAGCCATTGGATTCATCCCGCTAGATTTCGTACTGCCGATGCTTCTTTACAATATGACACATAAACCCTCAAAATCATCCCTCAGTTTTTGGATCAACAACTCCATCATCATCATCTTCACAGGTGTAGGACTTTTGGGCTCATTTGCTTCAATTAGGAAATTAGTTATAGACGCTAAAATGTTCAAACTCTTCAGCAGTGATGTAGTTGATTAACTCCTCCTATATGCCACAGGAGTAATTTTAAAAAGTTATAGAACTGAAAGAGGTAATCCACAATACGAATCATAATCTGCTACCCCTTCATGTTACTGTTTCACTAACGGCGGAAGATATAGAGAAACTGCGAGTTTAGTTTACAGAAATCATGCAGAAATTATGTTCAAATGAATCATGAATCCTTTCTGTGGTGTTTCAATTACTTTCCCCTCAAACCAGATCAATTACCAGGTGTACATGGAATTTTAGGAATTGACCATGACCTTGTGTAGGGTCCAGCCTCTTTTTGTCTCTTCCCTTATAAAGTATGTTGTGCAAGCTCCACGTTCTGTGCTGAGATATTTCTTAATGAATCTAGCATTATGTAGTAAGCGAGTTGACAGGAGGGAGGAGATTCATAAACAACTGCTAATGCTAGGAAAGCAGCATATGATCCCCGCCAACTCCCCCACTTCCACCTTCCCCAACCCACAAAACAAAGCCTTACTCGAGCGTCTATGCCAGAGTTTATGTTCATTGTTAATTTACTGAAAAGAAAGTAGAATAACCCCATTGGTAATCAGGGTGAAATTGTTACTTCCGCATCACCAGTATTCTTGATTATAAAGAATTCGTTGGAGGACGGCAAATTTCTAAACAAAAACTAGTAATAAGAGTTATAACGAGGCATGAAACTACAAAGAAAAACCCACAATTGATCTTAGGTCGCTGCTAGGGTAGAGATATCTATTCAATCTTTATTAAAAAATCTTCCATTTGTCATGATCCAAAGAGAAATAAAGCAATCAAGGTGGTGGTGTGCAACAAATCAGCATTTGCCAACAGGCCCCAATACTTCAGCCTCAACTACCGATATATACCATAGATAGCTTTCAGTCCATCCAGAAAAGGACTTCTATGGCAACCAAATTACACGTTCGTGCTCGTCACAAGTTTTGTTCATTTGGGTCAAACTCAAAGCAGCTGATCCATGAATAAAGATAAAGATTAATAAAGCAAATCTCGAGGAAAGCATGCATTCATTGCTGTCCCCCTTATTTTGTGGGTCTTGCTCATATTAATGGCAACAAGAATCCAGATCATCGTGCTCAGCATCTCGCAATTTTACAGATTGAGCAGTATTCTTTATGAATTTGATGACGTGAAGTCTTTTAGAAACCTGATCGCCCGATTTCTTAGACTAAACATAAACTTGGACCCTTCGCACGGAAGATTATCTTTTAATCATTATGGTCAATCAGTGTTAATTATTGTCTTATAGAATAAAGATTTGTGCCCATAGCATTAAATGCCTAGTCTTCCTTCTCAAAGAACACTAATTAAGTCTAAACAAATGTTTCCTTGGTTAAATGCTTGTTAAGCGTCATGGACCTATAGAAATATGCAAGTCTGCATATATTTTACAAGAATCAAGAGTACATGGAAAAATTATCTTACTATATTGAAACTCTATACATGGAGAAATTCGCATTGAGCCATGAAACTCTTTTCAGGGTGACGCGACTCTCTTAATGTTATTTTCTCCTCCATCACTGTTAAGAAATTCGAACTCAAGACCTTATTTAAGAAAGAAGTATCAAGCTACTCACCACCCTGTCCGACAACCATCGATGTAACTGTGTAAACTTACGATCATAGATAGGGCGATCAGGATCAGTCCCTCAGTCCCTCCTCTCTTGTTGTCTTGTCTGCGTGATTGATAAACCGCCTTTAGTGCGTTTTATGGTCCTCGAATTGAGTTGACAAGGCTACAACGAGAGGAGGACAATCATTTAGCACCGAGACAACTGTTTTCGTTTTGGCTTTAGTGCCAGCAACTGCTTACGATAATTTGTTCTGTATTTGTCCCCAGCCAATGCAGCCCACCTCTTCCCAGTCACCAATATACACACACAGATTAAAACCCAAAAAGATCCCCAATGCAAAGCCCCAATGCAAAGTATTGCAACAATCCCCATGCCGTTTTCTTGGGGTTTTAATGAACTTTACTATGTATGGAATTGGACTATTGGAGGATTGACGTCAATCTATGTAGCAAGCGTAAGGTTAACCTTTAGCATTGTATTGAGAACTCTATCCGTTGCTATTGGAAAAAAAAAAATCATTATTCGTCGTAGAAAATGATTATAAGTCCTTAAATATCCTTTTTTTGTATGAATTTTCATGCAAAAGTTGAAAACTGTATATATCTCCAGTATATTAATAATGGTATTGAAGCATATATTGGTCGTGTTGTTGCATAGTCTAGTTTGATTGTTTGATAAGCACTCCTTACTTATACAACCTTTATTGAACGTGTACTATGGAAAAAAAGGATAATTTTAAAATCAGTGTGGTGGAAACACACATTAATAAAATTTTCCTTTATCTAAAATTATGAAACACTTTTAGATTCTCAGAATAGGAAATATATAATACTACATGGAATGTTTCCCTGGCTTCTAAATGATCATATGAGATTTTTAGGTGAACTTGTGAGTTCTATATAAGTGGACAATGGTGTAGAGAGGTAATATAACAATTTCATGACTGGATAATTTTGTAGGGGTTACAAGTGTTGATGGTACTAGCAAGCCAGGCTAGACATGGACAGGAGCCGAGTAGGTTAACTGCATTTGAAGGTGGGGAATCAGACCAAGAGAATGTCAAGGCAGAGTTCAGCAGTGAGATGTCGAGTTTGTTGGACTTTTTCTACAAAATCAATTTCTAAAGATATCTCCATATATAGCATCATCTTCAAATAATCAAATGAAGTCTCATTCTCAGTTTGGACCATTTTTTAACGCATATGAAGTCAGAAAACAAGTGCTGCGTACAAGAGCCAAAACTATATCCTTCAAGCAGGAAATATTCATGGCGTTTTTGACATCAACATATTTTCTTGTTACTCATTATGAATCACCTTCACGTGATTGTGGGAAGGGATCGACATTGACTTCAATCTCTGCGGGTAGCTTTTTCTTCAAGGAAATCTGAGTGCTTGGAGAAGATTTCTCTTCATGGACTGTTTTTGTATAGTAAATTCCACAATAAGGTACTTAAAAACTAATAGATCAATGGCTCTCTCTCTCTCTCTCTTTAATGTAACGATCCCTCGTCAAGTGTATGATTATATGCCCACTGAGGGTAAAATCTTAAAACTATGTGTCCATAATTTGAGAAATCAACTGCATATGGTATCCATAATTAAGTATATATAGAGATAAATGAAATTGGAAATATAATAATCGAGTCTTTTTTTTTGGGGGCGGGGGGTAATCAAGGATTTATCTTTTCTAATGACTAAAGGTGCGTTTGATAAAATTAAAATCTGAAATTTGAAATTTGAATCTAAATCTATTAAATTGGTGAATTATTAAGTATTAAATTTGATACATTTGAATATATATCACATTAATTTTATCTCGTTTTGATTATTAAATGCGTATGAATATGTTAAAATCTAAATTTATTAAATTTAACTATTGAATTGATTATCAAACAATGCTCGAGTCCAACTTCGAAGGTCTGGACGGTGTGTTAAAAAAATTGAGTCTCTAGACAATTGGCGGCTCTGACCAAGGAAAACATAATAACAGCGTGCGAGAAAATCCGCTCAAGGAAAGCCATTTACGAGTAGTATTTTGAGGTAAGTAATTTGGTGGCGTGGATGCGTCAGAATGCCTTCTTTATTAAGCACTTGCTCCCCACGCTTGTTATTAATTTATTATGGTATCCTGATCTTGGCACCAACCTTAACCCAAACTATTAAATGCCATTACCGACATATGAATTCTGGGTAAACCGTCCTTCCGGTTCACTCTTTCTTTCCAATTTACCCAATGATTAGCCAAACCGGGGGAATCTAGTTGTTTTCCCTTTGGCGTAGGCATGTGGTGATGTTTTGTTTATCTAAATTTATGCTAAAAAATGTTTAAAATTTTGAACGGTATTATGTCGCACAAGTTATGAGGATCAACACCCTTTTTTGTCCAATAAGAAATAGGGTAATTCGTTAGCATAACAAAAAAAAATGCAGCAGAAAACAATTTGAATAGGTACTTATTTGTAAAAAAAATTTTATTTGCATCATCAGCACATTTTTTAACCGTCCTTTTATTTCACATATATCACATCAAAAAAAGTGCTAAAGTGTATATCTTTTACATAAAATTATCCCAAATAATCTATTATCTAAACACACTTAATATTTCTCAAACCAAGAACCGAAGTTTTGTAAGCCAAGAAAGAAATTATTATGCGATTGCATGGATAATAACAAGGCATGGGAGTAATCATATATATATATATATAATAAAGTCGTATTTTCATCTTTATCCTTTTATTTTATCTCTTTCCTACGTGACTTAACGACAGGGCAAGTAGGTGCAACGCGCTTTATGAGTTAACCCCTTAATAACCTACGCTATTCCATCCCTCTTTTTTCTCTTGCCTTTACAATTCTAGATAATCCTTTCATAATTATCTCTTCCATTCTTTCACCTTCTTTTTTCCTTAACCCTAATCGTCAAGCCTAAATTTCCTGGGGATTAGTATAAATAATTTTGAATTATGTTTTTAACTCTCTCTCATCTTCAACTCAAAAGTTCGAAATATCAATTCGAATATTAGATTATCTTTATCAGATTATCGCTATCGCAGTTACTCTACATTTTTACTCATATATGTGGTTCTCGATCTATTACTCATTACTTTATCAAGCAGTGAAAATGTTTACACTTTTTCCACCAATTTTTTTGGAAAGTTTTTTTTTTTTTTAACTTCAATGCAAGGACCGGATTTGGAATTTCGTTTTTATTCCCTTCAATGCAAGGACTGCATTTGGACTTTGTTTATGCTCGCTGTATGTGGTCTATAATTTCCTACACTTTCTTCATAACTAGGTCATTGAATTTGAATTTTCTAAGTCTTCAAAAGTTTCAGTTTGATTTTTATTTCTAGCAAGGTTTTTGTAATTAATTTGTTATTTCAATTTATGGATTCACTCTTCAATTAAAGTAGAACATATATTGCTTTTTGGTTAGTGATTTAAAAGTGGCCTTTTAAACTATTTGTTTTCACAAGATTTTTTAATTGCCTTTGACAATTTATTAATTGTCTTCAACAATGTACTAATTTTTTTTATTATTTTCTAGGTTTCTGGGGTTAAAAAAATTTTGTGCAGTTTTCAATGTTTTTTTTAGACTTTGGTAGAAAGCTTCTAAAGAACAAGAAGATGTCACTGATTACATAAATGGCAAGACATCAAGTTCATTGTCATACAACAGTTCACGTCATGCAATATACATCAGACTATTTAGATTTTTTATGTTTTTGACTTAGGAGCAAAATACATCTTATATTTTCGTTTTGCTTCTATTAGCCGTGAACAGATTTAGAAGTTTGTTGTGTTCCTATGACATGATTGATTCTGAATTCTGATCTTTTATTAATATTTCATTCGGCTTCTTTTCTTTTCACATTAACCTTTAAGCCATTTATATTAAGTACCAAAATTGATGTTTTGGTAACGGGTTGGCCATTCTTTTGTTTACAGAAGATCAGCCAAGATTGATCTTGCCTATTTTCAAGTTTTTGAATGTTATCATATCGTCGAATGTTTTTTTTTTTGAATTATTAATCACTGAATTAGATGTTTAAATTTACATTATAAGACTATTTTTGAATAACAATGTGCACATAGTAATGTATTTAAGAAAGGTTATAATAGATTATACAATAAGTTTGTATTTTATGCAAATAGTTTTATGAACTACACTAAATAATTTATTATTTTTAAACAATTCCCATTCCACGAATGGGTACAAAACTAGTTTTTATTAAATCAATACTACTATTCTGATTGTTTGCTCAAGTGATGCAACCTGGCCACACCGCGGCATTACATAGGGAAACAAAATCAATTAATCACTCTAGCTACTTCCTAAACTAATTATAATTTAATTATCAAATAATAAATCTAATTCTAGAACTACTAAACTTCTAAATGTGCTTGGTCTATTATGGCCAACACAATTATATCTGAGTGAAACTTCCATTGGTGCATAAAAAAGAAAAGGGAGAGAATTTGACTTCAACAGTTGAGTTTCCTACCGTTTTGTCCGCATGTAAACACATCTATTTAGACTGCCACATCATTACAAAACGATGACAGTACTCCGGATGCTTTCTTATGAGAGGAATCTTCCTCAGAGAAGAGAAGCTTGCACATTTTGGATCGTATTTTATTAGTACCAAAGAACCATAACAATTAAACGTGATAATTAACTGGTAAAAGAGTTTCTTTTTCCTTCCCCCAACCTCAGTTTACCTAACTTATGTTGATTAAACTGAAAGCGTAAAAGTCTTTATGGCCAACCATCCCCTCCTAATTAATGCTGGGTTTACACTGCCCGCAAGGCCAGGTAATGAGATTTCAGAGTTAGAGAAACGGAGACGTGGCCGCTAGCGGTCTACACGAGCTACTTACCACAACAAAGGCGTGAAACTTTGCTTGTTCATATGGTATAGACTCCTTCACTCGTAGCTACCGTGTTTGAACTTTGAAATCTTAACCCTTCAGCCCGCACAACCAACCAGAAGTCAGAAACTTCCTCCCTTCCCCTCGTTATCCAGTTGAAGAGTCAAGTAGTTGTTTTATAGCGGTCAAAATAGTCTCCACATGACTCCACACCAAAATATATAGTCATCCCCGATCTCTCCAATCCTTCCAATCTCCAAACTACTCAAAAGATGATGGAAAAACCAGTCGAGCAGCTGAAGAAAGAAAGCCAAACCAAGTTTGCCAAGAATGAATCTGCAGAGACTCCTACACTCGTGTTAGTCCAGCAGAAAGAATACCAATTATCCAAGGTAAATGGCAAAAACGAATCACAGGCCACCGCGAGGCCCCTGGAAAACCAAGCTAAGATTTCTAAATCGGCAGAACAACCAGCTGATGCGGCCGCCAATCCACTTCTTTGGGACTGTGGAAGCTCCCTATACGACTCTTTCGAGCTCAAGTCGTTTGAACGCCAACTTGACTCGGCCATCCATTCAAGAACTCTGTCAATGCCCCACTTATCTGATCGTCGTGTGATTGATGGTGGTAATCACCACCAGCCGCCATCTCAGCCGCCTCAGCCCATGTCTAAGAAGTCCTCCAAAATTTCGCGTTCGTTTCACAAGTTTCTTCGATCAGTATTCAAGCCCAAGGCACAAAATGGTAACAAGAATCCTTTCTTTCCGGCTAATGAGCAGCAGGCTACGCGGGATGGATTTTACGTGGTCTATGACATTGACAAGTCCGGGGCTCTTTCAACTATTCCAGAAGTTTCGGAGTTCGATGGTCTTTCACCCGAGTACAAATCTTTGGTTGGAAGAACTGCATCTGATCGATTTGCCGTTAGTTCCATAGGTATTTCTTGTGCTTGATTAGATAAATAGAAACTGTGGCAGTGTGAATATTTCCATAATCAGTAAAATTTTAGACGTGCCTACGAAATAAACTGAAATAATATTCCCTAATGATTGTATAACCAGTTGTACAGTACTGTCATGCTCCGTAGTGATTGTATTTTATGTATTCGGGTTTCTTCCTTTTTTGTCTTTCTTCTAATTCTGACATTTGGCACATCTTTAATGCGTATAATGAATAGATTTTTCTTTCGTTTTAAAGAAAGAGATGCAATAGAGCCAAAGTCAATTTTGGCTGGCTATCACTCCTAGTGACTTCTAGATTAGGTATGTATTTTCCATGTTTGGCCAATTTCCATATTTGTTTTTTTAAGTTGTTCCATGATAAAAATGGACAGTAGAACTTTCAGAGCTCCCGCAGGTGTGCATGGATCGAACTCTAGAGCTTGAGATGTGGTTTATTAGTACCACAAAACTTCACCAAAAAGATAAGTGGCAATATTGGATTTTTCGCATAATAGGATGCATGAATAAGGTTCATAGTGATAGTAGTTGTGGTTTGGCTAGATGTTAGTTTTGACAATTACCAAACCAAAAATAGTCCTGTAAATCTATCGGATTAATGATGAGTGGTGTCACCAGCTGTTCGAACTAATGTTTATAGTTGTACATCAATTCCTTTGTTGTCTTCTTAGACGGGAGTTCAAGAAGAAAAATCTATGAACCCTAAGTACAGGTTATGCCCCGGTTTCCTTGCCCATTAGGTAATCTAATAAACTTGGCATAAGAGTGAAATGAACTTACAAAGTAACTTTAATCCGTGATCTCATGGCATTTGAGAAACTTGCCAAGATATATGCATTTAATTCTACTACCTCATCCAATCCTTCCAATCCCCCTTCCTTTTTTTCAGCCATTCTAAAGAGGTGGCTGTGGTTCCTTCCTTTGGGCTTAATAATCCTGGAGGACGACGGACGATGGCGTTTGCCACCAGCAGCTCTTGGAGAAACTTTAGAGGATAATGATGTAATTGGGGTGGCTACCCACATTTCCATTTCATTCCTTGTTAAGGGACTTGTGGTCTCTCCCTTGTACCTCCAAAAAAGAAGTAAAGGCTCATAATTGATCCCTTGTCTGTATCATGTATGTATTATCTTTACCTTCCCCAATTAATGAGGTTGTTGCAAGTTGGTAGTCCTTTTGTTTTTGAATGAGGTTGGACCGCTCAAAATCGTAATCATCAAACAGCGTTTTAATATGTACAGCGTAGTAAATAACCATACCAGTATATAGGACAGCTCTCAGAGATCTGCTCAAAAGGGACGGATAACTCTAAAACGTCGGGTTGTCGGTTGAATTAACTCTCGAACTCCCTCCTCCCACTTTGATAGTCCTGTATTCCTTTTTCATCTGTCCCAAATTGTAGTCCACCTTCCAATTGAAGAATGTAGTTGTATTTTAATTTTTCTAAAATACCCTTATTCAATGTAAGTAGTTGTTACTATAAACCTATCTCATTTAATGAGAGTTGATTCTTTTTTTACCATCAATTCAAGTTCCCATAAAGTTGTATCATATTTAATGTGAGGGTATTTTAGAAAAATAGCAATCTAAATTTGCTTTTCCAACAAAATTAATTACTTTTTCTTAAACTGTGTGAAAAAAGAAACAGGATTATCAAAGTGGGACGGAGTGAGTATATGTTAGACAGTTAAAAACTCTTTTCTCGTTAAGTACTATTGCATAAATTACCTGATGACAGCACAAAATATAAGAATGTAATCCAATTCTACGAACTAATCGAGGTCCTAATCTATGCTGAAATTTTGTTACTGTCATCTTTATGTTCGAAAAAATGCTCACTTTCTGAACTTTATCTCACCGACAAAGCATAATAAATGTATAGGTTCGATTGGCTTTTGCAAATACAATTATATGTGGTTGACGCATTTCTTACCAGATTTAGCATGTTCATTTATATTATATTTTTTTCATACATCAAAAGAATTGTGCACAACAAAATTAGACGAGTATAAGCTAAATCGTGTATTAAATATAACAAACACACAATTTCCCGTAATAATTAGTGTGACAACCATGACAATTGCACATATCGTGAAACAGATATCACAAGCGAAGGAACAGAGCTAATTTGAGTCACATGAACCAGAGAAAGAAAAGCCAGTACCAAAGCAAATCAAAACAGTGCACTACTATCGCCATTATGCTTCCCAAATTACACCAAGCGATTGAGAGTTTTGTGTAGGCCTGTCAACGGGTTGGGTCTAGACCCGGATCCGGATCCGGATCCGTGAAATTATTGCGGGTATGGGTAGGGATTTAATTCCGTTTTCCGGATCCGGATCCGGATCCGTTTTGTCAAACAAAAAACGGGTCGGATACGGAATATAGTATTCCGATCCGTATTAGACCCGGATCCGAATATAAATGAATTAATAATTTAAAAAATATATATTTATCAATATAATTTGATTAGGGTGATGTATTTGAATAAAGTCAATTTGATTTCTTTTCTTACTTGGTTTTTTCTTTGCATTAGTTAGAAATTAGTTTACAAATATATTTTTTTCTCATTTTTATTAGAAATTATAAATTTTGCTAAATATGTTCGGGTAGACCCGACTCGGATCCGGGACCCGCCGGATCCGGATCCGGAACATAGTATAAAGGACCCGTCGGGTAAACGGGTCGGATCCGGGTCCGGTATAGTAATTCGGGTCCGGGTCCGGAATAATGAATTCCGGCTCGGACCCGACCCGTTGACAGCCCTAGTTTTGTGGCTGTAGTAGAACTCCAGCCTGGTTAGGACTTAGGATGAGCTTTTAGAGTCCCTTCCGTCCTTCGAAATTTCAGGGTTCATAGGGGTTAGGGGTAACTTCCTATATTAAAAACTTTAATTATAAATGTCTTTGTAAATATTTTTAAAATTTAAAACTTTGTTAATGCATATTTTAAAAAAATTTTATCTTTCCTAACACAAGCATTCACCAACCTCTCTCCACCTTCTCTTCTCTAGCCACCACCAGGCCTGTTTCCTCTCTCTTCTCACTCTCGATTGTTCTTTTTTCCCCTTCCTTCTCTTTTTTCCTGCCCTCCCCTCCTTTCTCGTGCATCTATTCACCTTCTAGTTGTAGGGAGAGAGAGGAGAAAGAGAAAGAATAGGGAAAGGGAGGGGTGGTGGTGGAAAATGAGAAGAAGGAATAGAAGAGAGAAGAGGAGAACGGGCGGTGGTGAAGGAAGAGGAGAGGTTGCCAAGGTGTGGGTGATGGTGGCAAAAGGTTGGAACTAGTGGTAGCTGGAAGTAGGGGAAGTGGTAAAGAAAGAAAAGTGTGGTGAGTTATATTTGAGAATTTTTAAGTTATTTCTTTTCTTGGAATATTTTTGGGTTGGTGTTATTATAGATTTTGTATGTATTTAATTTTTTGATCGATCAGGCCAAATAAATGCAGTAAGGGCCTGATCTAAGTGTCTTGTGGTAGTCAAGTCACCACAAAGGCACCTATATTTATGGGATTCAAAGTTTGAATTCTTCACTTCTTTTCCAAAAAAAACACTTAAGTCCCTTGTGATGGCCAAGTTGTCTAGGACACTTGAGCACCCACAAATACACTAAAGCACCCGCTGCAGATTTTGTATTTGAAATACAATTTTTTCCAAGAATTTAGAACCCATACATAGCCTCAATTTTTGGTTCGCTCAATTCCAAACACCCAAACGTGAACTAATACCCCCTTTGTTTTTTTTTAGGGCAACTTGAACTTAAAAGCGCACGGACATGTCCTACTGCGCAGGAGCATATTAATGCCAAAATGCCCCACCCATCAGCCATCTTCAGGACATAGTTAGGATCCTACCCCAATTAAGAGATACAGAAGACAGCCCAATGCAGCCGTTTTGTGGGCAACACATTTGAGTGAATTGTAAACCCCTAAAAATGATTCAGGCCTATGGCCTACTTATCAGAAACCCATTTAAGTGGTGTTTGTACTGTCGTCAATTTGAGTATGATTTTCAGATTCATTTTGGAATGGACAAGACAACAATGGCATACCAGAAAGAGTAGGAAGTAAAAGGATTTTCACCTCCAACCTTCATACCAACACTAACAAGTTAACAGTCGAAGTGACGGATAGACGAACAGATAAAATTCATACAGTTTTCATCAATGAAATGATTAGTTAAATCAAAGCATTATTTTTTTCAATACCAGACCAGGCTAAAATTTGAAGGAAACTAATACGAAATATATAAATATGCAAAATCATTTGCATTTAAAATGCACCTACTTTTTTTATATATAAAGGCTTTATTGTATTAAAAAATTTAGCCTTCATTTCTTTTGAAAAGAATGATTATTTGAAAAAATATTAGTTAGAATAATTCATGTAACAGTTGTTGTGATGTAATGTATGTAAAATAAAAAATAATTAAAAATATATAAAGATAGTAAAAATGTGTTTATAATTAATACAAATAAAATAATATTTAGAAAAATCTATGTATCAAACAGACTTTGCAGTAGAAATGTTCAATTGAAAATGATATACATAGACGTATTACAGAAGTTAGGACGTGGGTAGAGACATTTGAGTACGAAATTTCCGGTCTTTGCACCATCACCAAATACATATATATATATATATATATATATAAGTTGGCTTAATTGAAAAAAATAAACCATTTCTTCATAAAAAGGTTGCATATTTGAATTCTACTATGATGTGAGGGTCATGTTAATGTATGTTTGAATTTCGCTGCTAATGTAAATATTGTATTGGTAATGATTTGCAAGAAGCTCTATAAATCATCTATGATTTAGGAGGCGTTTCTTGATCTACAGTGGTGATTGAAACCGAATCAAACCACACTTTCTTCTTCTTCTTAAAAAAAAAAAAAAAAACCTGTCTCAAGGACCAATAAATAGAGAACAAGAATTGAGAATTTTGGCTATAAGTATCAGGGCCTAAGCAATAACAATCATCTTCCATCAACAGCCGATTCCACCATGGAAACCATACAATCTCACATAGCCTTGTTACCATCTCCAGGAATGGGTCATCTCATTCCTCTCACTGAATTCGCCAAACGACTTGTTCTTCACCATAACTTCTTAGTCACTCTGATACTTCCCTCAGACGGTTCACCCATGAGCGCCCAAAAATCCTATCTTCAATCACTACCCGCAACCATAACTCCCATCTACCTTCCTTCGGTTAGTTTCGACGACCTCCCTGAGGATACCAGGGTCGAAACCCGTATCGCCCTCACCATTTCTCGATCTCTTCCCGCAATTCACGATGCATTACTTCAGTTGCTAATAACCAAGCCATGCTCACGTCCTATCTCAGCTCTAGTGGTTGATCTTTTTGGTTCAAATGCTTTCCGATTGGCTAGGGATTTAAACATGTCATCCTACATGTTTTTCACATCGACTGCAATGTCCTTTTCCTTACTCGTACATTTGCCAAAGCTTGATCAAACCTATACATGTGAGTATAGGGACTTGACCGAAGCAGTGGTGTTACCCGGATGTGTGCCACTGCTCGGGAAAGACTTTCTTGATGCTATTCAGGAGAGGAAGAATGATGCTTATAAACTTCTTCTCGAATTATGCAAGGAATATGGTTCCGCTGATGGGATACTGATTAACAGTTTTGTGGAGTTGGAATTCGGTGCTCTCAAGGCTTTGAAAGAAGAGGGATGGTTTAAACCACCGATTTATCCAGTTGGACCGTTGATTCAGACAAGATCAATCAACGAGGTTGTTCCGGAATCATCAGATTGTTTGGAATGGTTAAATAACCAGCCAACAAAGTCGGTTTTATTCATTTGTTTGGGCAGCGGAGGAACTCTGTCCCAGGAGCAAATAAATGAAATGGCTTTCGGTCTGGAAATGAGTGAACAAAGATTTCTCTGGATTGTTCGAAGCCCGCATCAAACCGCTGCAAATGCTGCGTTCTTTACCAACAAAAGCGTGAATAATCCTTTGAATTTTCTTCCAAAAGGGTTTTTGGAGAGAACAAAAGAAAAGGGGTTAGTGGTTCCCTCATGGGCTCCTCAAATTCAAGTCCTGAGCCATGGTTCAACCGGAGGGTTCGTGAGTCATTGCGGTTGGAACTCGGTTTTGGAGAGCATTGTCCATGGAGTGCCTTTGATTGCATGGCCACTTTATGCGGAGCAAAAGATGAATGCTGTTCTGTTAACTGAAGATTTGAAGGCTGCCTTAAAGGTCAAGGCGGATAAAATCGGACTTGTGGGGAGAGAACAAATTGCAAAACTCGCAAAAGATCTAATTCAAGGAGATGAAGGAAAGGATGTTCGAGATAAGATGAAACAACTCAAGGATGCTGCTGCTAGAGCTTTCGAACCGGATGGCTCTTCTTCAATCTCACTTGCCCAGGTGGCTCAGAAGATGAGTGTATTGAAAACTAAGTGACTCTTAGCTATGTAGTTGCTTTCCTGTTCGAGTGCTCTACTGAATAGGTTGCCTTTAATGGATACCCTTTTATAACTAGTGTCGCAGTCTCAATTTATGCTTCACCCAAAAAGAAATGTAAAAAATTACGTGGCCTTGGAAATATTAATTGTTCTTTGGATTACATTACGCTTGCTTCCTAGTATTTTTCTCTTCAATTTATTAGGCCCGGTTGATGAATTCAAATTCCCTCGGATCCCCTCCATTGGAATGAACCACAACAATTTACAAAAGAAGACAGAAAAGAAAATACAGACAATGAACTTAATGTCGTCCAGCTCCTAAGCGGCCCCTTCCTTTCAACTTTCAGAATGGTAAAATTGAAAAGATGCATTAAAATAGAGGAAAGAAGAAATGGTAGGGCGGGCCGTTGCACAGAAAGTAACTGGGCAGGAGGTGACATTTCAACTGCTCTATTCGTCGTTACACTGAAAGAAAATATCGTACTTTTCATTTTTTTAATGTCTCGAAACATTTGTTATGTTAGAAAATTCAAAGTACTTTTTAGTATCTCTTTTAAATATAACGTTTTTTTCTAATCATATGCATGTTACCATTCAAATTTAAATTTTAAATTTGTAAGGAAAAAATTAGAAAGAGAAGCACAAATATCACAATTAAACCACTATTCTTAAAAAGTTGGATTTCCGAAACATAACTAAATAATTGGTACGGAGAGGGAGTATTATTGTTCGTCTTATTATTTTTTTGGTATAATTTCAAAAACTTTCTCTAAGGTTTTTGACAATTTCATTTGCCTCCCTTTAACTTCTGAAAATCTAGCTCAAATATCTCCCCTAATAGGGAATTGGGATGAATTGCTAATATAATGTGTGGCAAAACCACTATTATATCCTAAGTATTTAGTGAGATTAACTAAACAATACCTACAAAAACCGCTATTGGACTATATTTGAAGAAAAAAAATAAAAAATTGGCCATTTGTCTTTAGCAAGTTGGTGTGAATTTCTCCTCCAAATCTAGGTGGCACACTTTTCAACATATAAGACTAACAGCCGAAGGAGGGTTACTGTTCACAAGCTTTTTCGTCGTCCTCACGTGCTCGCCATCCTCCTTCGGCTCGGCTCTTCTCATCATCTCGTCTCATCTCACAATAGCAGCCAAAATTTCGTTATCTTCCCTTTCACCTCTTTTCATCTCATCTCATTAATGCACGCACATGCTTTTCCATTTTTGCTCCTTCGTCTGCTCTGGTTATGAATGGGTGGGCTGAGAATCTTTCTTAATTGGAATAAGGCGTATCACACAATGGATTTTATCCTTTGGATTTATGGCCTCCATCCTTTACCTGAGATTTCTTCTCTTCTACCCAACAATTGGAGGTACGATTCTTTTTCTCCTTCCTATTTCAGTTTTTGGCTCTTCCTCTTTATGATTGTGATATTTTTCTAGGGTTCCTCTCCCAGCTGTTTGCGTTCTTGCGGAGGTTGATTTTTTGTCGGAATTTTCTTCTGTGCCTTTTTCCTTTTTCTTTTCTTTTGTTATATTTTCGCTTGCATGCTGAATTTTACAGATGTTGTTCTTGTCCTTTTATGTTTTACGTTATTTTGTTGTTTTCAGGATAGCCTTGTGCATTTGTCTTCCAAATCTGCGTGGAGGTACTATCTTTTCCCCCTTTTTTTTTTGGCAATCGCCTTTTCGTTTGAGCTGTCTTTTCCTTCTCCTTTGAACCGGTCTCTTTATGCCTTTCTTTCAATATGCTCTACCTATGTCTCGCCTGAGAGAACACCTTGATGATTTTTCCCCAGATCTATTGTTTCTTTTCTTTCCTTCTTTCTTGCTCCCGGAGTTCGAGCAACTACCTAATCAGCTGCTAACTCAGATCATCAGATGGCTTTGTCACTAGCTCTTAAGCGGCTGGTCTCATCGAACAGCCTTCTCAGCCGGTCTCTCAATCCCCTCCTCCGTCCGGCTGCTTCCGCTGCGTCATCAAGTGTTTTCGACGTCGTCGATCGCCGCTCCGATCGTCCTCTCGACCATCGCCGCGAATTATCCTGTTTTCCAGGTAATTTTTTTTTCTTTTTTGCGCCCCCACCAGATCTATAATCTGTCTCTTCTATGTATATAATTTGGGGGAATTTTCATCATAGCCTCTGATCTTGTCCTGCTTATCGCCAATTGATATAGCGCAGCGGAAATGAAGTATGGGTCCCTTTCTATTTTTATTTAAATTGACGATTTTTCGACTGATCTTTTATTTTTAATTTTTTTTTAAAAATTTTTTTGTCTGGGTCTTTAATGCATTTCCGCTAGATGTCTGATTTGTTTGAAGCTTGTGTTTGCTTTAGTCTTGTGGTGGGTGATTTTTTTTTTCTTTTTAGTTAACTGCTTTTCTTATTTTTTCAAACTCTATTTTTTTTTTTGACCTTTTTACCTTGGCTAATAATAATTGAAGCCTTGATTATACTCTGTTTTTCTACCATTGTTTTGGGTCAGGCAGGATGAAGTATATTGTTTCTGCCAATAATATACAATTTTCTTGCTTAGTGGTTTGGATTCTCATGCACTTGATCTCGTGCTTTTTTTTTCCTTGCTCACTTTGACTTAGGATTTTGCATTTTGCTTGCGGTAGAAAGTGATTTCTTGTATGCGAAGTAACTTTTACAGTTTGTGCTCGCCAAATTGACAGAATTTGTGGATGTACTGAACATGCTTTTAAAAGCTTTACCAAAGTGTAATTCTTCAATAAAGTTTAGAATGTTTTAGTCTTAAGGTTCACTGAGGATTGGTGCATATTGGGATTAAGAAGACGCTAACCTTTAAAATGATTTTTTGGATAATTTTGGGAGGTGAATATTATTTGTGGACTTTATGTCATATTCTTGGTTAAAATGTGTAACTGGAAAATCAATGTTTCTAAACTAACCCACTCGGGGAAGTGTAAGGCAAAGAAAGGAAAAAAAAACTGGATTAAATAGCAAATAGAAGTATTTATGCTGGTACAGATCTAAGCTTCATTTTCATTTTCCCATAGCTTTTTCCTTTATGATGTTGGAAGTTGTGAGAACATACTTCTTGTGTACAAGTAGTTGAAAGATTAGTACTCATTTCAAAGCTAATTGCTATTTGTGCATCCTTTGTTTGTAGGAAGTATTGGAGTATGCAGATAAAGACTGCATGAAACAAGGATTCCTTCACTTGTTCTTATAAGAGGAAATAGCAAAACTGGACAAATTTGTTACTAATCACTCCCTCAAAGTTGGTGATTCCCCAATCTAGAACAACTTTTGCTATTATTATCTTCACCAGGAAAGGCATAGAAAAGTTGCAACCCAGGCATTTTAGCTTCAAAATTTAGCTTGGAAAGGCATAGAAAAGTTTCGACCCTGCATTTTAGCTTCAAAATTTAGTTTTAGTCAGATTCTATATACTAAGAAACTATACCACCTCATGGTGATTATTGATATTTATATTGTTAGTGAAATCTGTAGTAGACCCTTCATGGTTTTTCCGCTTTCAGTAAGTTTTGAGTTACCATATAAATCAGGAGAATTTGGGATATGGTTTTCCCGCTTTCAATTCATCATCAAAACCACGTCTACAGGGAAGCAGATTATGAGAGGACCAAATTGTAGTGTCTTCAAATAATGCCCTCATGACCAACAACGGATGCAAGCCAGCACTGCTAGGTACGACTGTGGTCAACAATCTGAGGCATTGATGTGTTCAAATCAGATTGCAGAGCAGGGTGCTCTCGATTGGTTTCAAATGCAGTGTTCTGAGCCCTTCACTGACAAAAAATTTCACAGCATGCGCAGCGACGCAGGCCCCAAAGCATCTAATGGTAGCTGAGTTGACGATCACTTTTAAAGCAACTGTATTTGATGACAGAACAAACATATCAATTATGATGATCATGGAAGAAGGAAATTCCCATACCGTCATGGCGATAAGAAAGATCTTAAAGTAACTGGAAACAAGCATGGTAAGGGCTGTATCTTTGCCCTTCAGAACTCCAACTGAAGTATTCAGAAACTTTGCAGAACCGATGAGTACCACAGACATAAACAAGAAATTTCCCAAAACAACATCAATCAAGATCTTTACAGAACCGCAATACTGCAGGCTGCAGCAAAGCTCATTAACGAAGTGCTTTCTGAGTCATTCGCATTTAACACCCAATTTCTGTAAGAATCCAGCATTAAAAAACCCAATAGTAGTTTCCACATTAAACACTCAGAATCCAGAATGTCCCTGGTGAACATATTGTAGAACAAATGTCTATATGCCTTAGGCTTGTGCAGAATCAAATCAATTAGAATAATCATGACTTCACACACAATATATTCATCAGCCACCTTTTTGCAATTCCCACATTTCATGAGGCGGATGTTTCGGGGAGAATACTGAATGTAGAGACTCTTGATGGGAAAAGAACATTCAACACATCTAAAATCGCTCTTCTCCTCCATCCTTTTGGTCTGTGATGCTGTCTAAAGGTGTGTTGAGGGCTGGCATTGGTGGTTCAAAGTAAGAACTATTCCATTGCACTTTATACTTTTGGTTGTCCTGGAGTGTCTCCTTGTTCTTACGGGTGCAATAATTGAAAGAATTAGAGGAAGATTTAACCGGGTTCATGGCATCATGCCACCCGAAAGAATCTATGGCACCCACTTATTACATACAATAATATCAAGTTTTTATTTTTCAAATTATATACCCACTATATATTCTTTATGGGCATCCATTATAAATTGTCGCCGCGCGACGCGCAGCCCATGCCTCCTAGTCTAATAGTAACTACGTACTATTAAAAAAGTGTGCTATTTCATTTAATTTTTTAAAAGTTTTTAATGTTGGCCTTTATATTTTGTTGAGTTGCTTTGCAAATTTAGATTTTAGTTAGTCTGATCATCTAAAATTTGCTAATGCATCTGCTACATATTTTTTAAATTTACCTCCAGACTTTTGATTTTTTTTGCCCAGTTTTAATCCATTTAATAGTTTCTCAAAACAATCGTTGTAACAATTGGTAAGGGCATTTTTTATGCCAATTTACGTTCTCTCTCCAACAATTATTTTCCTATTCTACCTCTTTTTGATTTGGGATTACATGTTACACAAAAGTTTCAAATAAGGGAGCTAAATGAAAATTTCAAAAGTTGAGAGGAACTGAGTGAAATTGTCAAAAACCTCGAGGGAGGATTTTGAAATTATACCTACTTTTTTTTTTGGCAAGAACATTTCAACTATTATCACTCATAAACTTTTTCGTGCTTTTTATGTTGGTGCACATATTTTGTCCTCCATTAGACTCATGAATGCTCTAAGCATTATGATGGTTTCTTTTCTAAGATACGCTGGCCTATGTGTTATACTCCGTTAGTTAAAATTTTTGCTTAATGACATGATACACTATTGACTGTTATGAGATGAAACAGGAAAGAAAGTGAAGCATTCAGTTTTGTTAGCATCTAAAAATGCAACGAAAGATAGTTGACACATATAAAGAATATGTGGGGAAAAGTAGTTTATTATTGTACCAACAAAAAGGCATGTCCAATTCTTATATTTCAGTATTGTTCTATGCTTGATGCAAACTAATATTGTTCTGTATTTAATGAAAACTAATGCAGCATTAATTTAATATGGTGTTCCTAATAAATGTACAGTGCAAAATAAGTGCATCAATATTGTATAGGTAATTAATGTAATTTTGGTATTAATGTTCCTAACACAGCACCAATGTGTCTCTGTCCACATCTCAAAGTCTAGGAAGAAATTATGATCATAAGAAAGCTCGAAAACGCAAAATAATGGTTTAAGAAGAATATATCCACGGAAGAGATTTCACTAGCAACTGATTTAAAGTGCAAGACGAATGTGATTGCTACGTTTCGTTCATGTATTCAACACTGTTACATTTCGGGTCTGAATTTGGACAGACCACAGATATTTTTGACTTTTTTTCTTTTCATATTCGTCTCACTGTTTTTCTCTTATGTATTGAAGTACTTGTGTGTATTCTTCTTCTCGATCATTATCGTTTGGATTGTTATTTTTAAGAATTTATATAAAAATAAATATTTCGACGATTTGATATATATATATAAAATAAAAAATATTTCTAAAAAATATAAAAATATTTCTAAAAAAATCATGATCCAAGCAAGGCATTGCAGTCTCCCTTTCAAGAAACTGGCACAGTACCCAAAACACCAAGAAGATACAGCATGCGATGCATGTATTGGTGGATGCGTTGCCATCTGAAAAGGAATCTGAAAAATAGGCAGACTCATTCCATTACCTATTGAGTATATAGCAGTGAGTGATTCTGTCATTCCTCATTCCACACAATATTTAATAAAATCACCATGGAACCAACAAAACAAGAAGAAGCTCGTCATCTTCAACCTCACATCATCATACTTCCAGCTCCAGGACTGGGTCACCTCATTCCCCTCACTGAGCTCGCCAAACGTCTTGCCTTCCACCATAACTTTGCCATAACCTTCATAATCCCCACCGACGGTTCTCCTACCAATGCCTATAAGGCCTTCCTTGAATTCCTCCCCACCAGCATCAACTCCATCTTTCTTCCTCCGGTAAACATCCATGACCTCACAGAAGACACTCCTGTTGAAGTCCGCATTTCACTGACCGTAAACCGCTCGCTCCCGTCCCTCCGCCGCGCGTTAGTTGGAACTAATTTCTCAATTGGGTCATCATCATGTAGGTGTACTCGTATTTGTGCATTGGTTGTTGATCTTTTTAGTCTTTCAGCAATTGATGTGGCAAAAGAATTTGGCATCCCATCTTATGTATTCTATCCCACCACAGCTACGTGCTTCTCCTTGGTCTTGCATATGCCGGAGCTGGATAAAATTTACCCCGGCGAATATAGGGACTTGCCTGAACCAATCGAGTTACCCGGGTGTTTCCCGTTGCACGGGAAGGACCTCATGGACCCGGTTCAAGATAGGAAGGGTAAGGCCTACAAAAGGTTGCTGCAGAAACGCGACCGCTACAATTCAGCACAAGGGATATTGATTAATAGTTTTATGGACTTGGAACCGGGTCCAATTCGGGCTCTGAAGGAAGGTAGAGTATTGTCCTTGAAACCACCGGTTTATCCGGTTGGACCGTTGGTTCAAGGCAGCGGTATAATATCATCCCGCGGAATACACGAATCTGAATCGCCAGGATATTGTTTGAAATGGCTAGATGAGCAGCCGGAGGTGTCGGTTTTGTTTGTTTCGTTTGGGAGCGGGGGAACGTTGTCTCAGAAGCAGTTGAATGAATTGGCTTTTGGACTGGAAATGAGTGAAGAGAGATTTCTTTGGGTTGTTAGAAGCCCAAATGAGAAGGCTGCGAATGCAGCCTTTTTTGGTGTCGAAAGCGTGGAAAGTCCTTTCGATGTTCTTCCCGAGGGGTTTTCAGAGAGGACTAAAGAGAAGGGTCTTGTGGTAGCCTCATGGGCTCCTCAAATTCAAGTCCTCAGCCATGGCGCAACTGGGGGTTTTCTCACTCATTGTGGGTGGAACTCAGTTCTGGAGAGCATAGTGCATGGGGTGCCTTTGATTGCATGGCCACTTTATGCTGAGCAAAAGATGAATGCTGTATTGTTAACTGAAGATTGGAAGGTTGCCTTGAGGGTTAAGCTGGATGAAAAATCGACTGGTGGGGAAAGAAGAAGTTGCAAACTTGGCAAAAGGCCTAATTGGAGGAGGAGAAGAAGGAAAGGGACTTGGGCTCAAGATGAAAGATCTTAAAGGTGCAGCTGCAAGGGCTTTGAGAGAGGATGGATCATCGGTTAAGGCACTTGCTGAAGTGGCTCATAGATGGAGTTCCTTTAACGTGCAAAAGTAAAATTCTTCTACATCACAGTCCACCACCTACTCTGAAATTTTGTCCAGGGTGACTTATAAATCAACGGCTTCCATGTTTCTTTTACAAGAAAAAAAGGAGCTCAATTAAGGAATCGAGCTTGTTTTAACTCTTGAAAAAGATGAGCTGGATTAAGGAATTAAGCTTGTTTTAATGTAGCATCACTTCAAGACTTACACTTGAGGTGCGTTTGATAAAACTGAAATCTGAAAACTAAAATTGGAATCCATTAAATTATTGAATTGTTAAGTTATTAAATCAAATACATTTGAATGTATATCATATCTAGTAATAAGTGAATAGTTTATCATTTATTTTTGAGAGTAAGTTTTGCCACTTAATTAATTCATATATTCAATTTTTTATTCTCAAACGCATCTGAACATATTAAGAACTGAATTCATTAATTTTAAGTGTTGAATTGGATTATCAAACAAAACCTTGATCACTCCCAAACTTTTGACTATTAATCAAGCTAAGTATTCAGCCCACAGCATTCTCCTTCAAAGGAGTATTTGCATCCTCCTAAAATGCCGAAAAGAGAAGAGAGCCCTTAGTCACTGGGCCCGTTAGAGAGACAGAATTAAAAGCAGCCCAACCCCAGGGCCATATGAGTAATCTTCATTCATAGCATGTAAACTAATTACCTAGTAGAGAACATTAAAATTTTCA